TTTTTTTGGGAGGGGAAAAACTCACGAAAAAGGATGGAGGGTAAATTGCCTCTGGCTTACATCACTGGTTTGCTTTGCTCTGAGATGGAAGCAGTTCTTTCCAGTCTTAACATACATCTGGTTTAGAATTATAAAATCGAGGCTGTTGCCTTGAATATTTTATGCTGCAAAGTTGATGTAAGGGTGAATTTAGTGTCTTTGTAACTGCACATATCTCTTGATAAGGTGGAATCTGAGCCACGGTATATATTGGTCTGCCAGAGAATTTCTAGAGTAGAAAGTAGAAATCCCACCCCCCTCCATAAAATTCTGTAGGTAGGTATGTTTTTAGGGCAAAATGGGGCTTTTGGTTGCTGTTGTGCACGCTGGCCAACGTGTGCCAAAATTGAGCATTGAGTCTCTTCACATAATAAGCACAAAACGCTTGCGCTAAGGCTGATGATCTAATCTGTACCTTATGTTACTAAAAAGTATTACGTGAAAACCTAAATTAAACCAAGCCATGATGGGTGGAAGAGATCGTTATCTACGGGTCCACATGATAATAATCACGGCGCACAGAATTGGAATGTAAAAAGTCACTAGGTGAGATGAATAGCATAGATTGCTTTAAAACCAAAGATGGAAAAATAGATATATTGTGGAAAGTATGATTACATGCATGGAGGTGAAGGGTTAGTTAAGGAGTTTGCAACCTTGACAACTTTAAGACTTGTGGACTTCAGCTCCCAGAATTCCTCAGCCAGCATAGCTTGCTGAAGAATTCTGGGAACTGAAGTCCACAAGCCTTAAAGTTGTCACTAGGTGTATTAATGAATGAAAAAGGCTAAAATAAGTATTACAATGGGTAGATGTTATTGGAGTTGTCCAGGTTACACATGAAAGTAGAGATCCGTAGATTGGTGGTGGATATTCATTGTATTCATCTTCAACAGGTTTTTGACGGTGGGAACAATTGCTATTTTACCCTGATAGTTACAATTCTGCTTTTGACATATAAATACCAATTAAAGTTTTCCAAAAGATACTTTTAGATAATTATCCTTAGATAATTTTAGATATGGTCTTTTCAGTCAGATAGCTCAGTTATTTGTGTTAAAAATTACAGTTCTCAAATATTATCCATTTGTGTTTAGTCTGTTTCCTCCACTTTTCTAAAATGTGGTTTGTTTCCAAAAACTAAATTAATTGTTCTTTTTACTGTTACGCTTGGCTTCTTCATTTTAATCTTTTGGCTACCATGAAATAGATGAACATCATATGATCCTTAAATTACCATTCTGCACTCTTTCGCTTAATATTGAATTGTACAAAAAAGTTAAATGTTTAAAAGTTAAATCCACAACATATCTTTACCAAAAGTGCAATTATGTATGTGATTTATGGGGAAATGTTAAATATGTGATTTTGAATTATGTACCAAATAATATATAAGTAGATAGAATCTCTTGTCTTTAAGGAATTATGGCTCTAGTGTGCATTGTGGGGGGTGGCTAAAAGAATAATATTGAGAATTGATCGTATTCCAGATATTAAAGATTGGCTTTTGAAAATCTTTAACTAGTCTGTCTTAGAAAAGGCAATATTTTATATTAATCAGAGGATAAATCAATATATTCTTTGGCATAGATGTTATTTTATAATTTTTATATACTGTTAATATAATATTGGAGTATTTGACAGTACTATTATATTGTATTTTTTTGTACAGCAGTGACTAGTTTAATATATAAAATGTAGACTTGTTTTGTTTGCTTTCCTATTCCTTGTCTTTTTATCATTTTTATTTTTATCTATTGTTTGGTTTCATTTTGTTATTGTTATGTACTTGGTAGTTTGCTTATATTCTGTATCCTTTCAATAAAGAATTTTTAAAAACATTAAAAAAAACAAAAGGTTAGGGGGCCTGATTAAATGTTGGAACTGATCGAGTCAGTCCAGCAAATATTGTATGACTTCTTTATTACTGTACAAATAGAATTTAACCTGCATTGCAGTTTCATTGATTTTAGGGGGGGAGGCTTATTCCTTACTACATTTCCCTGAATGATTCACACTATTGTATTGGAGATACTTTCTTCCTGTGACCTGATATTCACAGTGTATTGTGAAATATGGTTCAGAATTACAAACTGTTAAGCCCTACCTTGCTTTGGAAATAATCTCATGGGGTTTGTGTAGGCTTTTACAATCCCTAAGCTCTCCTGTCAACTTAACTGCATTCACCTTGCCATGGAATCAGATACTATCTAGTCTTACCTTCAATGTCTGGATTTATCTAGTATCAATCTGTACTTCTAACATAATTGTGTTGGCTTTTCGCTTAGCAACTCTGGAAAAGACTGGATGTACCCTGAGTATTTCTGACAGGGCCTGATGTATTGATTAATCAAAATATTTTGAATTTTTTTTGAGCCAGGGCCAATATTTTAGGAATGTACAGTACAAATATTCAAATTGAAAATGCGGATTATAGTTTAAAATCACGTTTAATATTGGATTTAAATTTTTTTAATATATTATTTTACATTGTTATTATATTAAATGAGTCTTTTAACATACATAAATATCTGCATTGAACTCCTGGATGGAAGCCACAGGCAACACGTACTGTTTTGATGGTAGAATCAGGATAGATTAATAATTATTAGAGTAGAAAAAACAATTCAGGCTGTGTCAAGCCCAAAGATACACAGCACATTACAGGTAGTCCTCAACTTATAACCATAATTAAACCCAAAAATTTCTGTTGCTAAGTGAGTCATTTTGTTGCCAAACACACACACACACACACACACAAACCACTTCTCCACATGCATATTCCATCACTGGCTGATTGTTCAGAGCATATTTAAGGCACGAGACCTACAAATAATCCCAGTAGTTTATCCTAGTTTATTGCAGAATGGTGCATCTGAAAAATAGAGTATAGAAAATAAGATTTTTGAGCATCCATTCTCCTTTATTACTCATTGTGAGTATAACAATTTAAAACAAATGTTCTTGTCTTTCCTTTTTCCTTGGGGAAGGTAAGACACAAATTGTCCTTTAATGTTCCCTAGTCACTGTATTTTCAATAAATAACTGCAATAAATTGTAAAATTAGTCTTTAGAATATAAAACACAGCATATTTATGTATATCAGAAGTGACCTCAAAATTCCCATAGCCGTGCTCTAGCATTAAACATTAGGGCTTTCTGGCCCTTACTTTAAATTGCTCAGGACTATATATTTTATAGGTAGCAGGTAAAATGGGTGTGCCTGTGTGAATGTGTCATTTTGCCCCCTTTGGTGACGTCTTAAGTTAGGTAATTCTTCAATTATAGTTTCATTACAAGTGACTTATTTATATTCACATTATCTATATGATACTGAGACCAAGAGTGGGAAATAATAGAATTAAAGGCGTTCAAGATAATACTGCGCAGGTTTCAGTCTCTTTTCTCTGACCCTGACATTCATTTGAATTACAAACCATATATCTTAAAATATATTATTGTATCCAGTGGACACAGTTTAAGACACTCTGCTATCTAATAAGGGGATGAGTTCCTTTGAATCCACTAACTCTGGCTTAAATAATGAATTATCTACAGCTCATGATCTCATGTGTAGTCCCTAAGCAACCTCAAGGGGGAAAAAAGGTATAAAAAACGCCTAGAACGGTATCAGGCAGAGAAAAGAGGTGGAATGACAAAATCCTGTGAAGTTTATTTGCAGATTCATTTCAGAATGGCAGCATAATCCTTCCCCAAACTGCATAATACCCCAATGCTGCCGGTCACTACGGTCCGGACTAATTATAAGGGCCCTCATAGTTCCTCTAGGAACCATAAGGATTAACCTTCAAGCCAACTAGAAGTTTACCCCAGCAAATGTGGCCTACAGGATGTGATGTGAATTGCAGCCCACCACACACACCCTTGTTGCCTTTTCGACAAGCTGCCCTGGCCAATTTTAGCCTATCTTGAAGTCGGCAGCCTTTTGTGGTGGTACTGTGGCCCCTTGCACTTGACCACTAGGTTCTCTTCAGTAGATCATCCATGCCAACCATTGACCTGCCACTGGCTTCTTTATGGCCCTTGGCCATTGACACCCTCTTCAGTGGCCTTCTCTGCTTAGCCCCTTGCCTTCTTACCAGTTCTAGACAGGGAGTCTTGAGAGTGCCGTAGTTTAAATGGTGCACCTTCAGGCAAGTTCTCCCTCTGGGCCTTCTGGTTTCAGCTCCAGCTCTTCATCTTAAAGGAACACTTTTAGTTTTGTCTTTAGACTTGAACAACATATCACTTAATTCAGCTCATATCAACAGTGTGCGGGGTTGCTGAAAAAATATTGGGGAAATGAGTGGCTGGGTGCTGTTCCTGCCTTTACATCATGCAGGTTCATCCTTCTACAAAGTGCTAGATGTACTATGGTTTTTATTAACACAGCTTTGGATAAGAAAAAAAATGAGAATGAAAATGCACACAAAATAGAAAATGTGTTTCATTTTGAAAATGCATTTTTGTTTTGGATGGAATAAACAATGTATTCTTTGGATTGGTTTGGCAGAAACAAATCCCGAAATGTTTTTTTTTGTTGTTCCAGGTTCCAGCTGAAAACAAAAGGAATCGTAGGCTGATTTTATGGGGTGAGTAGGGAAAAGATTCTTCTTTGACAAGGCTGGTGTTTCCAAGCAATGACCCAAAAACCTGGGGTTTCTGGACACTATTATCTCCCACTGTGCAGTGGTATTTAGAGTTATATTTATTTGAAATAGTTTATTATCGTTGCAGATACTTATGATAGTTTACACTGGTGATCTTATCCTCTTTTCTAAGCTATCCAAATAGTTATTGCTACTTTTTATGTGAGTGATTCTCAACTGAAAGTGTATTGCTATTCAGTCTCTCTAAGCCTTGCTTCATCTTTGCAGATAACCAGACCAGGGTACAATGCCTGTGGCCAAACAAGTCATACCAGAATAAGAAAAGAAATTATCTTTGGAGAAAAAGAAAACAAAGAAGATTGTTTATGTGACTGATGTGCCACAATGGTGAGCAGCTATTGTATGGTAAAAGGAATTTACTTAAAATAAACAAGCTATTTTCAGAGAGGCTTCTTCGCAAATCTGAATACTTCTGTTTCCATGCATTTTTAAAATTCATGTCTAGGAATTTAGCTGATACCATAGGAACATTCTGCGTTGCAATACCAATTTTATGTCTCCCCAGTTCCCTTCGGAGGGGAGCTTAGACATCAGCTCAGCAATTTGAAGATCAGAATTAAAATAAAATGGCATCATCACCCTCTCCTGTGCTTATTTCACTTCACCCCTTTTTTTAAAAAAACAACAACAACAAAGCAATTTCCAGATGTCTAAGGAATTGGAGGGGCAGGTTGTTTGTTTTTGTTTGTGCGTTTTTAAGGGTATCTTGGACTGCAAAGAAAATAGTAAGTCTGTTGTCCTTGGTGCAAAAGTTGGGTATTAACATTTCTGGTTTCTGGGGCTCTTGTCAAGCACAAAGAATCGGGACCACGTTAAATTCCAATTAAACTGATTTATTGCTCCTGCCTATACCCAAGAATCTAGTCAACTAATGGTTAGCTTTAAACTGATGCTAGATAAGAATTAATGGAATTCAAGGGGGTTGGATTTAGACCGCTTGTGGGAACATAATGACTCCAGGCTGATTGCTCTCTTGACTCCACCCCCAGCACAGCCTGTCCTTCTGCAGCTCTACACATTTCACTGATCTCTGTACCCAAGAATAGCTTCACTGGGCATGGATACGGGAAGCATGTGTTGTTTCTTCCCTCTACCCTAATCACTTGTTCCTGTCTACAAACCGTCCAGTAGCTTTTCTAATTTTCATTGGAGAGAGAACTGGATCCTGCAGGGAAGTGCTGCTATGAAGCATATACTGTCCCATTACTGATCCCTAGTGGTTGGATCCTCTTACTGCAACAGGCACAGGATTCCTAAGAAATGTCATTTTGGGTATGTTCAGATTGGGAGAGTTATAAAATAAATCCATTCTACCAGAACCCATTTCTCTTCTAGTCCTGGTCGAGAGAGTCACAGGGTTAGCAGTTAAGTCACTGTGCTCAACGGAAGGGTGTCTGAGTGGTTTTAGCAATGGTTAACAATACAGGAAGTCTGCTCATTTTCTCAGCAGACGCAATCTGCCAACGTTTCTCTGACCCAAAGGCCTTAGGGGTTCTGAGAATCTGCTCCCATCAGTTCATGCAAGGTGCTTAAGCCCGGTGTTCTCCTTTTGTTTCTTCGCCAGGAAGGTGACATGGAAGCGGACGCAGTTGAAGCTATTGGGGAAGAAACGTTCATCAAAGGCAAAGAACGGAAGACCTACCAGAGACGCCCCCTTCCGCCCGTCCTTCTTCTACGAACGGGCTACGGCGGGTTGGTTCATCTACCCTGACTCCACCACGTCCTCCAATTGCGACCGCAAGTCTACCAGTACTACCTTGTCGACCTAGGTTGCGACGAAGTTTACTTCTGGCTCCAGTATCTTCCGCGGCACGGTGTTCTACGGCTTCGGTGGCACCTGCTGTGGGTTTATATCACCCTGCAGGTTGTGAACATGGAAGAGCAGCCCATCAACCTGGGCGAACTCCAGCTCGTCCAAGTGCCCGTCCCAGTCTCTGTCCCTGTTGCCACCACTTCCGTGGAAGAACTTCAGGGGGCCTATGAGAACGAGGTCTCCAAGGGTGGCCTCCAGGAGGGGGAGCCCATGATCTGCCACACGCTCCCTCTGCCAGAAGGCTTCCAGGTGGTAAAGGTTGGGGCCAACGGCGAGGTGGAGACCCTGGAGCAGGGGGAGCTTCAGCCTCAGGAGGATCCCAACTGGCAGAAAGACCCAGACTATCAGCCCCCCGCCAAAAAGACAAAGAAAACCAAAAAAAGCAAACTCCGTTACACCGAGGAGGGCAAGGACGTGGATGTGTCTGTGTACGATTTTGAAGAAGAGCAGCAGGAGGGCCTGCTTTCCGACGTCAACGCGGAGAAAGTGGTGGGCAACATGAAGCCCCCCAAGCCAACGAAAATTAAAAAGAAAGGTAGGCCGGGCGGTCCACCTGAAGGCTTGGTGGGCAGTCCCTCAGGATTTTTGTGCTGTACGTTAAATATCCCGCGGCTCTTGAATATTTCGCCGATCCCCAGGGCAGAGGTTTAATTGATTTTTTAAAAACCCAGCTAGGTTCAAAAAGGCAAGACTTGACGACGGCTTAATTGTGGCCTATGTCTTCTTTGAAAGGTATGTTTCTCTGGACAGGCAGCTGAGTGTCACGTTCAGGTAGATGGCTTTCGTGATAAGCACTGAGCCAGATGTGGAAGCCGGAAGCCGTTTCCCCTCAGCAAAGACAGGATTGCTCCCTCAAGTGATTTCTGTTGTATTTTATGGCCTAGCTCAGCGGTAGGCAACCTTGGCTCTTTTATGACTCGTGGACTTCAACTCCCAGAATTCCTGAATCAGCCACGCTGAGGGGAAAGGGAGAGGTTTCCAAGCTGAGCCATGCTAGCTCAGGAATTCTGGGAGTTGAAGTCCACGAGTCATAAAAGAGCCAAGTTTGAAGACCCCTGGTTTAAATATTGAAATATTTTTCCTCATAGTCACATGATCAAAATTCAGGCATTTGGGCAGGGGTAGGCAACCTTGGCTCTTTTGTGACTGGTAGGCTTCAACTCCCAGAATTCCTGAGTCAGCCATGCTGAGGGGAAAGGGAGAGGTTTCCAAGCTGAGCCATGCTGGCTCAGGAATTCTGGGAGTTGAAGTCCACGAGTCATAAAAGAGCCAAGGTTGCCTACCCCTGGCCTAGTTAATGTAGCTGATCCTTTACATCAGTGTTTCCCAACCTTGGCCACTTGAAGATGTGTGGACTTCAATTCCCAGAATTCCCCAGCCAGCAAAGCTGGCTGGGGAATTCTGGGAGTTGAAGTCCACACATCTTCAAGTGACCAAGGTTGGGAAACACCGCTTTACATTCTACCCATTCGACAGAAAGACAGGACACAAATCAAGTTGTTGTCCTTGATAACGACTAAGGTTTTCTCTTGGTTCACTCAGATGTGCTGGACATTTATCCCTGTAATGGGGCCATCTTGTCTGTTAGAAATGGAAATAAGGGGGTTCTGCCTCCGAGCAATGAACGTTCTTTTCTGAATAGGGGTGAAGAAAACATTCCAGTGTGAACTGTGCAGCTACACCTGCCCCCGGCGTTCAAACCTGGACCGTCACATGAAAAGCCACACGGACGAGAGGCCACACAAGTGCCACCTTTGCGGCAGAGCCTTCCGAACAGTCACACTGCTGAGAAATCACCTCAATACTCACACAGGTACGGTGAACGGGGATGCTGCCATGCCATTTTCCGACAGGCTTTTTGCAGGGACTGCTGATTTGGGGGGTGCAAATGGAAGGATTAGTCGAGTCCTGGGCTGTGAATGTACCTGTAATTTGTGGTGTATCAGAAATTGAGGATGCAGCACATAAAAAGGAAAAGAATGTTATCCTGAACTATATATAAACAGCCTAGTGCAGTGGTGGCGAACGTATGGCACACCTGCCAGAGGCGGCACTCAGAGCCCTCTCTGTGGACACGCGCGCCATGCCCCAGAGATGGCAACTGTCCCTCTGCAACCAGCCGCCCACTAAGCCACCAAGGTCCCACGTGGCCGGATGCATCCCAGCACCCATGCGCTCGCTGGCCTCTATGTGCGGCGGGCCAATGGTATCAGACAGCAGCCACCCTGGCTCCTGGCTCGCCTTGCCCTGCGACAATGGCACCCCTGCCTCGCCTTGCCTCGCCTCACCCTGCAGGACGAGCCTCCTGCCCACCGCTCCACCTGCCCGAGACCCCCTGGATCTCCCCCTGCCTGGCCCCCACAGGCATCCCTCCCCACGAGCAACATCGAGGTGACCACACTCACCCAATCTGCCATGACCACCACAGCCATGCCCACCCTGGCACCTGATGATAAATAAGTGGGTTTTGGGTTGCAGTTTGGGCACTCGGTCTCTAAAAGGTTCGCCATCACTGGCCTAGTGGGACCTGTCTCTTAAAGCATACTTTGCTGTGTAATCGGAACACAAATATTACCTACAAAGCAATCTCCTTTTTTAAAAAATAAAATGGCACGACGGAGACTTGCATGTTATCATCGTCTCAGTCAAATGAAGCCGTTGCCTGTTTGAATGTTCTTTGATCTCCATAATCCATCAGGTACTCGTCCTCACAAGTGCCCCGACTGCGACATGGCCTTTGTGACAAGCGGAGAGTTGGTTCGACATCGCCGCTATAAACATACCCACGAGAAGCCATTCAAGTGTTCCATGTGTGACTACGCCAGTGTGGAGGTGCGTTTCGTGTCTAGTTTTCTATCATCGTCGTTCTACGATAGCTACACCCATTTTCCTACTCGGTGTTTTGCCTGGAGCTTTGAAAGGGTTCCGTTCATAGTTAACATTTCTTTCCACATCTTAAAAGTGTTCAGGTAGGTCCATCATTTAGGTGTAAAGTGGAACTTCAGTGCTGCCTCTTTCTGCGTAGAAATTTGTTGCAGATCTACCTTTTAAGTTTAATTTCAGCATCGCTTGGAAACCATTTTATGGATTATAATTTTGCCACATCGAAAGCTGGGGTTTCTCGGAACATGAGACCTTAAAGCACTAGATTTTGTTTGATAATTTATAAAGTCAAGGATTAGTTATAAATTCTTGGTAACGCTTGTTATTTCGACTTTACTGTGACTCCTTGTGTTTTTGCCTTCAAGACAGCTCATCTTTTCTAAGCAACTCACTGGACAGCTACCAGGTAGTCCTTGACTTACAGCAGTTCGTTTAATGACCGTTCAAAGTTACAACGGCACTGAAAGAAGCGACCTACGACCGTTTTCCCAGCAGCCTCCCCATGGCCATGTGATCAGAGTAGAGACATTTGGAAGCTGACTCATTTATGACGGTGTTCAGAGTCAGGTGTTCCCCTTTGGCGACCTTCTGACAAGCAAAGTCAATGGGGGAAGCCAGATTCACTTAACAACCATGTTACTAACTTTAGTGATTCACTTAACAACTGGCAAGAAAGGTCATAAAATGGGACAAAACACCTTTAACCAGTGTCTTTCACGTGACACCCCCCCCCCAGGAGATGATGGCAAAGGTCATAAATATGAACCAGTTGTCAAGCATCCAAAGTTTGGTCACATGACCGTGGGGATGCCGCAACAGTTGTAAGTGTGAAAAGCTTTCTTCCGTGCCGTTGTAACTTTGAACGGTCTCTAACCTACTGTTGTAAGTCGAGGACTACCTGCATTTGTTTTCATATTGAAAGGCCTTTTTATCGTTCCAGAAGTACATAGGATTTTTTTAAAAAAACAAAAAAACACAATTATTTTTAGGTATAGTGATCTGCGCGTCGCTAATCTCACTTCGGCGTTCTTGGGTTTCAGGTTAGCAAGTTGAAACGCCACATTCGTTCTCACACCGGGGAACGCCCATTCCAGTGCAGCTTGTGCAGCTACGCCAGTAGAGACACTTACAAACTGAAGAGGCACATGAGGACCCATTCTGGTACGGATTGCGCTTCGGAGAAGATGGCTACAGAGCAGCGTGTGCTGAAAGCCCCTCTTTCTCCCCCTCCCTCTCCCTCCGTCTCTCTTCCTTCTTCCTCTCTCTCCCTCCCTCTCCCTTTTCTTTCCCTTTCCCTCTCTCTCCCCCTCTCCCTCCCTCTCTCCCCCTCTCCATCTCCCTTCCTCTCTTCCTCTCTCTCTCCCTNGGGAAGGCGGGCAGGAAGAAGATGCTTGCCCGATGCCGCCCAACCAAGTAGATGGGACTGAGGTGGTGCAGGAGGTTAACGCTGGCGTTCAGATGGTCATGATGGAACAGCTGGATCCAACGCTGCTTCAAATGAAGACCGAGGTCATAGAAGGCGCCGTGCCACAAGATGCCGAAGCCACCGTGGACGACACCCAAATCATCACCCTGCAGGTTGTGAACATGGAAGAGCAGCCCATCAACCTGGGCGAACTCCAGCTCGTCCAAGTGCCCGTCCCGGTCTCTGTCCCTGTTGCCACCACTTCCGTGGAAGAACTTCAGGGGGCCTATGAGAACGAGGTCTCCAAGGGTGGCCTCCAGGAGGGGGAGCCCATGATCTGCCACACGCTCCCTCTGCCAGAAGGTTTCCAGGTGGTAAAGGTTGGGGCCAATGGCGAGGTGGAGACCCTGGAGCAGGGGGAGCTTCAGCCTCAGGAGGATCCCAACTGGCAGAAAGACCCAGACTATCAGCCCCCCGCCAAAAAGACAAAGAAAACCAAAAAAAGCAAACTCCGTTACACCGAGGAGGGCAAGGACGTGGATGTGTCTGTGTACGATTTTGAAGAGGAGCAGCAGGAGGGCCTGCTTTCCGACGTCAACGCGGAGAAAGTGGTGGGCAACATGAAGCCCCCCAAGCCAACGAAAATTAAAAAGAAAGGTAGGCCGGGCGGTCCACCTGAAGGCTTGGTGGGCAGTCCCTCAGGATTTTTGTGCCGTACGTTAAATATCCCGCGGCTCTTGAATATTTCGCCGATCCCCAGGGCAGAGGTTTAATTGATTTTTTAAAAACCCAGCTAGGTTCAAAAAGGCAAGACTTGACGACGGCTTAATTGTGGCCTATGTCTTCTTTGAAAGGTATGTTTCTCTGGACAGGCAGCTGAGTGTCACGTTCAGGTAGATGGCTTTCGTGATAAGCACTGAGCCAGATGTGGAAGCCGGAAGCCGTTTCCCCTCAGCAAAGACAGGATTGCTCCCTCAAGTGATTTCTGTTGTATTTTATGGCCTAGCTCAGCGGTAGGCAACCTTGGCTCTTTTATGACTCGTGGACTTCAACTCCCAGAATTCCTGAGTCAGCCATGCTGAGGGGAAAGGGAGAGGTTTCCAAGCTGAGCCATGCTGGCTCAGGAATTCTGGGAGTTGAAGTCCACGAGTCATAAAAGAGCCAAGGTTGCCTACCCCTGGCCTAGTTAATGTAGCTGATCCTTTACATCAGTGTTTCCCAACCTTGGCCACTTGAAGATGTGTGGACTTCAACTCCCAGAATTCCCCAGCCAGCAAAGCTGGCTGGGGAATTCTGGGAGTTGAAGTCCACACATCTTCAAGTGACCAAGGTTGGGAAACACCACTTTACATTCTACCCATTCGACAGAAAGACAGGATACAAATCAAGTTGTTGTCCTTGATAACGACTAAGGTTTTCTCTTGGTTCACTCAGATGTGCTGGACATTTATCCCTGTAATGGGGCCATCTTGTCTGTTAGAAATGGAAATAAGGGGGTTCTGCCTCCGAGCAATGAACGTTCTTTTCTGAATAGGGGTGAAGAAAACATTCCAGTGTGAACTGTGCAGCTACACCTGCCCCCGGCGTTCAAACCTGGACCGTCACATGAAAAGCCACACGGACGAGAGGCCACACAAGTGCCACCTTTGCGGCAGAGCCTTCCGAACAGTCACACTGCTGAGAAATCACCTCAATACTCACACAGGTACGGTGAAGGGGGATGCTGCCGTGCCATTTTCCGAACAGGCTTTTTGCAGGGACTGCTGATTTGGGGGGTGCAAATGGAAGGATTAGTCAAGTCCTGGGCTGTGAATGTACATGTAATTTGTGGTGTATCAGAAATTGAGGATGCAGCACATAAATTGCTTGCGTACCAGTTGCACTCAACTGGCATAGGAAAAGAACGTTATCCTGAACTATATATAAACAGCCTAGTGCAGTGGTGGCGAACGTATGGCACACCTGCCAGAGGCGGCACTCAGAGCCCTCTCTGTGGACACGCGCGCCATGCCCCAGAGATGGCAACTGTCCCTCTGCAACCAGCCGCCCACTAAGCCACCAAGGTCCCACGTGGCCGGATGCATCCCAGCACCCATGCGCTCGCTGGCCTCTATGTGCGGGGGGCCAATGGTATCAGACAGCAGCCACCCTGGCCCCTGTCTCGCCTTGCCCTGCGACAATGGCACCCCTGCCTCGCCTTGCCTCGCCTCACCCTGCAGGACGAGCCTCCTGCCCACCGCTCCACCTGCCCGAGACCCCCTGGATCTCCCCCTGCCTGGCCCCCACAGGCATCCCTCCCCATGAGCAACATCGAGGTGACCACACTCACCCAATCTGCCATGACCACCACAGCCATGCCCACCCTGGCACCTGATGATAAATAAGTGGGTTTTGGGTTGCAGTTTGGGCACTCGGTCTCTAAAAGGTTCGCCATCACTGGCCTAGTGGGACCTGTCTCTTAAAGCATACTTTGCTGTGTAATCAGAACACAAATATTACCTACAAAGCAATCTCCTTTTTTAAAAAATAAAATGGCGCGACGTAGACTTGCACGTTATTGTCGTCTCAGTCAAATGAAGCCGTTGCCTGTTTGAATGTTCTTTGATCTCCATAATCCATCAGGTACTCGTCCTCACAAGTGCCCCGACTGCGACATGGCCTTTGTGACAAGCGGAGAGTTGGTTCGACATCGCCGCTATAAACATACCCACGAGAAGCCATTCAAGTGTTCCATGTGTGACTACGCCAGTGTGGAGGTGTGTTTCGTGTCTAGTTTTCTATCTTCATCGTTCTATGATAGCTACACCGATTTTCCTACTCGTTGTTTTGCCTGGAGCTTTGAAAGGGTTCCCTTCATAGTTAACATTTTTTTCTGGATCTTAAAAGTGTTCAGGTAGGTCCATCATTTAGGTGTAAAGTGGAACTTCAGTGCTGCCTCTTTCTGCGTAGAAATTTGTTGCAGATCTACCTTTTAAGTTTAATTTCAGCATCACTTGGAAACCATTTTATGGATTATAATTTTGCCACATCGAAAGCTGGGGTTTCTCGGAACATGAGACCTTAAAGCACTAGATTTTGTTTGATTATTTATAAAGTCAAGGATTAGTTATAAATTCTTGCTAACACTTGTTATTTCGACTTTACTATGACTCCTTGTGTTTTTGCCTTCAAGACAGCTCATCTTTTCTAAGCAACTCACTGGACAGCTACCAGGTAGTCCTTGACTTACAGCAGTTCGTTTAATGACCGTTCAAAGTTACAACGGCACTGAAAGAAGCGACCTACGACCGTTTTCCCAGCAGCCTCCCCATGGTCATGTGATCAGAATAGAGACATTTGGAAGCTGACTCATTTATGACGGTGTTCAGAGTCAGGTGTTCCCCTTTGGCGACCTTCTGACAAGCAAAGTCAATGGGGGAAGCCAGATTCACTTAACAACCATGTTACTAACTTTAGTGATTCACTTAACAACTGGCAAGAAAGGTCATAAAATGGGACAAAACACCCTTAACCAGTGTCTTTCACGTGACCCCCCCCCCCCTCCAGGAGATGATGGCAAAGGTCATAAATACGAACCAGTTGTCAAGCATCCAAAGTTTGGTCACATGACCGTGGGGATGCCGCAACAGTTGTAAGTGTGAAAAGCTTCCTTCCGTGCCGTTGTAACTTTGAACGGTCTCTAACCGACTGTTGTAAGTTGAGGACTACCTGCATTTGTTTTCATATTGTCGTTTTTTTGTCGTTCCAGAAGTGCATAGGATTTTTTTTTTAAAAAAAAAAATAATAATAATTCTTTTTAGCTATAGTGATCTGCGCGTTGCTAATCTCACTTCGGTGTTCTTGGGTTTCAGGTTAGCAAATTGAAACGCCACATTCGTTCTCACACCGGGGAACGCCCATTCCAGTGCAGCTTGTGCAGCTACGCCAGTAGAGACACTTACAAACTGAAGAGGCACATGAGGACCCATTCTGGTACGGATTGCGCTTCGGTGAAGATGGCACAGAGCAGCGTGTGCTGAAAGCCCCTCTTTCTCTTTCTCTCTCCCCCTCCCTCTTTCACTCCCTCTCTTCCTTCTCCCTCTCTCTCCCTCTCTCCCTCTCCCTCCGTCTCTCTTCCTTCTTCCTCTCTCTCCCTCCCTCTCCCTTCTCCCTCCCTTTCCTTCTTCCTCTCTCTCCCTCCCTCTCCCTTCTCCCTCCTTTTCCCTCTCCCTCCCTCTCTCTCCCCCTCTCCCTCCCTCTCTCCCTCTCCCTTCTTCTCCCTCCCTTTCCCTCTTCCTCTCCCTCCGTCTCTCTCCCTCCCTCCCTCTTCCTCTCCCTCTCTCCCCCCCCTCTCTCTTTTTAACTTTGCATGCTTTGCAATTTTAGTACTCAATAGTAGAAATTTTTACACATTGTAACTCTACTGATCATGGTAGCATACTATGAGATGTAGATATCATATTTTTTACTCAGGCTCCCTGAGAACTGAGATAATTTTAAAGTTTCCTACAGGGGAAAAAAATTGAGAAAAGCTATAATAAATGCAAGAATAGCTTGAAAAAAAGGAGAATTGTTTAGGAAACTGCAAACAAACAGTGTGTGTGTTGTTTGTCAGCAAAATGTACTTTTGATTTTGGCTTATATAAAAAAGACCCATATATATCCATATATCCAAGCTCATGTTCTCTTTCCCGTAATCCACAATGCCATTTCCACATCTGGGCCTCTTTGAGCTAACCGTTTCTCTCCCTGGTTCCCAAAGGTGAGAAGCCCTACGAGTGTTACATTTGCCACGCTCGCTTCACCCAGAGTGGGACCATGAAGATGCACATCCTGCAGAAGCACACGGAAAACGTGGCCAAGTTCCACTGCCCCCACTGTGACACGGTGATTGCACGAAAGAGCGATTTAGGTGAGCATTATTGGATGCGTTGAGACTCCCGTGGAAAAAAAACGGAGGGACGGATTGTCCCAAATTCTCCCGTCCAGCTTTTCGTGCTTAAGGTGGGACTAATGCTCAGAGTCTCACCGTTTCCAGTTCCTTAAGCACTTAGACCCAACTGGATAGATCCTGGCATTTTAAAATGTTTATCCTAGCACCATCAGGCAGGAATTTGGTGTGCTCAGTTAAATATAAAAATCAGCTACAGGGAAGACGTTCGTATTCCTCCATCTCCTCCCCAGGTGATGATGATTTAAAGATAGACTGTCCTTTTCCAGGTGTCCATTTGCGGAAGCAGCATTCCTACATTGAGCAGGGCAAGAAGTGTCGTTACTGTGACGCCGTGTTCCACGAGCGATACGCACTCATCCAGCACCAGAAGTCTCACAAAAACGAGAAGCGCTTCAAATGTGACCAATGCGACTATGCGTGCCGACAGGTACGGACGGACCCGCAAGGAACCCGGGATTGTCTAGATCAGGGCTTTTCAACCTTTTCACAGATTGTACCCCTTTTAGGACATGACAATATTTGAGTACCGCCAGTGCTTAGCAAGGTGTCAAAAACTTGATGACTTAAAAAAGGGGGGGGATTTTGGGTTTTACTGATTAGATTCATTTGTTGTTATAGAAATGGCTAGTTTATAATATTATGGAAAAGTAAAAAATTGAGGTTCAATGTTGATGCTTCTTTCTACTGCAACAGAGGGAGTCTGTTCTTTTTCCCTTCTCCCCCTCACTTTCCTCCCCCCCCTTTTCCTCCCCACTGTGTCCTACTATTTGCTTTTGTATTTTTGTATTTTATTCTATACTCTAATAAAATATTACAAACTCTAGAAAAAAAAAGGAAAAAAAAGTACCAGTTTTAATTTCTTCGGTGGCTGTTCCTTTGCTAAATCGCTTTCCCCCTTGCACTGACAAAATGTATGATGAATTTATCCATGTTTATTAATATGCACCGCTACCAGCTAGCTCAGGGGTCTTCAAACTTGGCACTTTGAAGACTTGTGGACTTCAACTCCCAGAATTCCTCAGCCCTCATGGCTGGTTGTGAGGAATTCTGGGAGTTGAAGTCCACAGGTCTTAAAGTTGCTAAGTTTGTAGACTCCTGAACTAGATGGTTTGCCCTTCTGAGCTCTTCCACAGTGTAGTAAGAATGCACCACCCCCAATCCCTTCCCTGTACCCCTAAAGACACAGGAATCAAGTGCAAAGCAAGAAAATAAAATAAACACAAACTCCTTTTTTTTTCTCTTTAAGCTGTGTCAAGTGTCACAATGTTGCACTCCTAGACTGAAAGGCTTCGGCCATTGCGAAAAGCTTTAGCTTTAAATTAAGCCTGTTTACCTTCAAACAAAAACTTTCTAAAAGCTACAGACAGACTCAGTTAAAGGGCTAAAACTAATTACATTTGTTTAAAGGGATTAAACCTTTCCTGTTGGCTTTTTTCCCCTTCCTCCACCCAAACCACGTTCTTTTATAGCTTCTCCTCTCTCCCCCCTTTTTCTTCAGTTCACCTCCAGCTCCATCTGCTTCTGGAAGCGCCAGTCAGCTGGAGCCCTGCCGGCTCCTGGGGCTTCTGCAGAGCCCAGACAGTCCTGCAGCTGCCTCTCCCTCAGGCTTGGCTCGCTTCAGCTTATTCCCCTGCCCTGCTACCCTTGGCTAGCAATCGCGTACCACCTGGCATGTGGCAAAGTACCACAAGTGGTACGCGTACCACCGGTTGAAAAGCCCTGGTCTAGATCAGTTAATTTACCGCCTTCAGGCTGTCCGTGGGTCCTTCCACCCCTTTGATCTCCTGCCCTCTTGATTCCTTCCAGGAACGGCACATGATCATGCACAAGCGAACCCACACTGGAGAAAAGCCTTACGCCTGTAGCCATTGCGACAAAACCTTCCGCCAGAAGCAGTTGCTTGACATGCACTTCAAGCGCTACCACGATCCCAACTTTGTCCCAGCTGCCTTCGTCTGCTCTAAGTGTGGCAAAACGTTCACACGCCGTGTAAGTGCTCAAAACTCATGGGAAGATTGGGGAGGGGAGGGGAGGGGAGGGGGGAGACGAGTGTTGCACGGAGCTCCGTGTGAAGTACCAGGAAATAAGAGAAGGAGATGGATGGGGTTTTTAACACCAGTGAGTTAGCAAGACTCCCTCTGTGTTAACGGTTCTGGCAAAGCCAGAGCTTTTGTGTTCTGCCAATCCTGCTGTGGGAATCATCTGGACGGCATTTGCTGCTTTCAAAAATGGGAACTGTTTTGAGGGCTGCAAAACTTGGAGGCAAGAAGAGAAGAAATGTGGTCTGGATTGGCACAGCTGCCAGCTTCCTTCCGATGGTCTCGGAGCCAAAAGCTGGGAGGGGTTTTTTTTCCCTCCCACTTTTGGGAATTAAGGTTAAAGAGCAAAATGGGTGCAATTAGCCTTACACTTGCTTTGAGACATTTGTGGGGGGTTTTTTTTCCTTTGCTTAAAGCTTCTGAAATCCTCCCAAAAGAGCCTGGCCCCACCCAAGTTTACAGTCTGGATTTAACGTGCCACCGAGCATGGCAGAAGCGAGCCGGCAGAAGTTGTACAGTCTTGCTTTAATACATGCTGCTGCTTCTTCTTCTTTTCCCCCCCCTATGGGGCCTTTCCTGTCCCTTGGCTTAGAAACTGTGTGACCCATGTCATCCTTATATGTTCTTGAAAATTGAAGCAGTCTGCTCAGAGGTCAGATTGCATCAAGCTTAATTCTTTGTTGCTGGCACTTCCAAAAGCTGGCTATTAGTGCGGATTCTTAAAAAAAAAAAAAAAGGGGGGGGGGAGAGATTGTGAGTTCTAGTTCTGCTTTTAGGAATGGCAGCTGGATGAGAAATCGTGGGCCAGTCAGTCTCTCTCCCAGCCCCCAGAGGGAAAGCAAAGAGGAATGCTTTCCAAGGAAACTCCAGGGACTTGTCCAAATAGTAGCCACGAGTCAAGAATGACCTGAAGGCAGTTTTTTTTAAAAAATGTATTTCCTGATTCACCTGGAAGAGGTGGTTCAGATACCTCTCAGCATGCAACCGACACCTAACGTTTACCTGCCTTTCTTTAACCAGAACACAATGGCCAGACATGCAGATAATTGTTTAGGCCCCGATGGGGTTGAAGGAGAGAACGGAGGGGAGCCCAAGAAGGGGAAACGTGGGCGAAAGAGAAAGATGCGCTCCAAGAAAGAGGATTCTTCGGACAGTGGTAAGAAAGAGAGAAAAACTCCAGAAACTTTTTAGATCTCCCAAACTTGCCGATCGACTCATAGGCCACCCCGGATGCTGTCGGCTGTTGCACAGAATGCAAAACAGTAACTTGCCAGTAGCCACTTTCAGCTGTTCCAGTTTCTGAGCAATGGCGGGAAAACGTTGATACAGTACCGCAAGAACCTTTAGGCAGAAGGTTGAGGGTAGGAGTCACTCCTTCCTTCTTTCAAGAAAGCCATTGGTGTACCTGATGTTGGGAAAAGATTTATTTTCAATATTCTGCCATTCCAACCCATTAAAAAGGTTAGGGTTAGGGTTATTGAGGTAATTGAGGTCCTTCAATTTAAAACATTCACAGAGGGAAACTAAACATAATCATGGTGTGTGCCCGCTTGTACGCAAACATGTTTATATGCACCCACAGTCATCACTTTTCCATTGAAGGTTTGCAAGTAGCAAAGTAGTTTTCACCCAACTGACATGTCTGGCAGGGGCATTGTGGCTTCCTTCTGTGGCCCAGCCACCTTTTGAATGGAAGGCTTCTTTCTGGTAGAAATATCGACATGACCGCCTTACCTAGGACAGTGGTGGCGAACCTGTGGCACGCGTGCCAGAGGCGGCACTCAGAGCCCTCTCTGTGGGCACACGTGTCATGCCCCGGAGATGGCAACTGACCCTCTTCAACCAGCTGCCCACTAACTCGCCGAGGTCCCACATGGCCGGATGCATCCCAGCACCCATGCGCTCGCTGGCCTCTGTGTGCAGGGGCCGATGGTGTCAGGCAGCAGCCGCCCCTGCCTCACCTTGCCCTGTGACAATGGCACCCCTGCCTCGCCTTGCCTCACCTCACCCCGCAAGACGAGCCTCCTGCCCACCCTGCCAGAGACCTCCTGGATCTCCCCCAACCCTGCCCGGCCCCCACAGGCGTCCCTCCCCATGAGCAACGTCGAGGTGATCACGCCCACCTTGGCCACACCCACCCAGTCTGCCATGACCATCAAGCCACGCCCACCCAGTGGGCCACGCCTACCTGGCACCCGGCGATAAATAAGTGGGTTTGGGGTTGCAGTTTGGGCACTCGGTCTCTAAAAGGTTCGCCATCACTGAACCTAGGGGGAACCTACTTAGGCAATTCACGTTTTATTTTCTTCGTCGTTCGTTGCCTTGATTTTTGTTCGTTGCCTTGCTCATCTTAAAGAGGAAAATGCTGAACCAGAATTGGATGACATTGAGGAGGAGGAAGAAACAGCGGTTGAAATTGAGGCCGAACCAGAAGTGGAGCCCGTGGCCCCAACTCCTCCGCCAGCCAAGAAGCGGAGAGGACGCCCTCCAGGCAAAGCCAATCAACCCAAACAGCCCCAGCGTAAGTTTCCATTTTTCTCCCAATGACTGCAGGGTCCAGTCCTATCAATAAAGAGGAAAGTTAAGTCAGGTTGAGATGAGGAGCTTTGAGGATACTGGAGGACGCGCCTTCAGGAAAACCCCTGGTGCTGTTTTTGGACCAGATAACACAGTGGTTCTCGACCTATGGGTCGCGACCCCATTTGGGGTCGATCGACCATTTCACGGGGGTCGCCAAGCAAGGCTGTCCGCCATTTTTTTTCCCCTTTTCTGGCGGGTGGCTTACCTCCCTTGGGCTGGGCCAGCTGGTGGTCGGCCTGCTCCGTCTCTGCCGCTTGCCAGCTACGCCTCGGCAGGGGGCGGAACCACGCATGCGCGGCGCTCCCGGGCAGGGAAAGTCCTCGACTTACGACCGGTTGGGTAGTCCTCGACTTACAACCGGTTTAGTCCTCGACTTACAACCGGTTTAGTCCTTGACTTACGACCGGTTTAGTCCTCGACTTACGGCCGGTTGGGGGTCGCGGCATTAAAAAGGTTGAGAACCACTGAAATAACACAAATTACATCTGCGTGAGGCCGACTCAGACTGAGTTTCAGGCCTGCGTAATCCCTCCCTTTAGCAAGAAGTGCCAAGAAGATTTTGCTGTAGACAGATTTCAAGATATCATGAGTGCAAGTCATAATTTACATCTACTGGCTGGTGCCTCCCTTTTACTTACTGTAGTTAACATTAACCATGGTTTGGGCTTCACGTCAAACACCACCGCAAGCAGAAGCATTTAATCTCAAGAGCAATGCAGGAGGACTCCTGCCTGGCCATTATTGTAACACCCAACTGCAGTGTGCCCTACATGGGTTTAAAACTAGACTTCTGGCTCATTGAAAAGAAGCAGCCCCTTTTAGATCCAACTTTAAGACTTGTGGACTTCAACTCCCAGAATTCCCCAGCCCTGTTTTTCTACATCATATCGTATTACGTGATTCTTGTATAACTAAGGCAAGATAAACTTAATTTGATGTATAGAATGTGTGAGTTGGAAGGGCTCATCTGGGTTGATCTAGTTCAGGGGTCCCCAGCCACCCTTGCCTTAGATCAGGGGTCTTCAAACTTGGCCCTTTTATGACTTGTGGACTTCAACTCCACGTCTGTGTCTCTTCGTCCTCCAACTGCTCCAAGAAGCAGATAAGGGCCTGAGAAAAACATCAAACCAATCAGTCTTCTGGGCCTCCAAGGAAAGCAACCTCTTCTTTTAGGGCGCTGTGCGTCATTGTGTCTGTTTTAAAACCCTTGGCTTTGAAAGTTTGTGCAGATAAAGAATAGAGAGGGGCAGATTTTATAAATACCGTCCTCTCTCCATCATACCACCTACACCAGGGGTCTTCCAACTTGGCCCTTTTTATGACTTGTGGACTTCAACTCCCAGAATTCCTCAGCCAGGCACGTCCCAGACACCTGAGGGTTTTGGTTTACAGTATAGGCCAGGGGTCTTCCAACTTGGCCCTTTTATGACTTGTGGACTTCAACTCCCAAACGCTGGCTGAGGAATTCTGGGAGTTGAAGTCCACAAGTCATAAAAGGGCCAAGTTTGAAGACCCCCCTGCCTTTAGATGCTGTGAAATTCTGATTTCTCCCCTTTTTTGTTTTATCCATTAGCCACAGCAATCATTCAGGTGAAAGACCAGAACACTGGTGCAATTGAAAACATTATTGTGGAAGTGAAGAAGAAGCCCGAAACAGAGACTGTCGTGGCCACTCCAGGAACTCAGCCAGCCGCAGTGGAAGCGCCCAATGGAGACCTCACCCCAGAGATGATCCTTAGCATGATGGACCGGTGATGGAGGACGGGTTTAACGCTCTTAACTGAACTGGCCTGGGCTCTTTTGAACTGGCTCAATCCGTTTTATTTTATTTTATTTTATTTTATTTCCTTCTTACCTTATTTTCGGCTTTGGGAAATGCATCATTTTTTTTTTTTTTTTTAAAGACCATTTTACCAAACAACCTGGGAAACAAAACTTCAAATGATGATAGGATGTGATTTGACTAGAACATTCTCTCTCTGTGTCTCTTTCTCTCTCTCTCCCCCTCCCCTCCCCCCCCTCTGTGTTTAATGTTAACCTAACCGGATCATGCAACATGGGGTGATTTTTATTTTTAGTTGTTTTTTTTTTTAATTTGCTGGTTGATTTTCTGAGTTCCCTAAGGGCGTTTTGCAAATCACTCAATCCAGTTAACTGTTAGTGCCAGGCCGTGGTTGGCCTTCTCTGTCTGGAGCGTATCCAGGCTGTTCTGGAGCTGTTTATGCATTTCTAGAAGCCCCCGGCTCCCTTTTTTTCTCCCCCCCCTCCCTCTGTCTAGAGATTTTTAATTGTAAATTCAGACTCAGGAGGGTTGTAAAACTCACATTGCATTTTAGTTTTGCTTTTTCTTATCCGATCCCGCTCCTTACCCACCCCCCGGCGCCACGTCAGCACTGTAGGTTCGGCATGCTTCACCCCCCCGTCTCTCTCAGATGCTTTGCTGTCCGTAGGGCATCTTTGTAATGATCAAGCTTGTAAATAACTTTTTTTTTTTTACATTTTAATCTTTTTTTTTTCCATTTAAGAGGTTTTTGGGGTGGGGTGGGGCTTATAGTTTAAAAGGAAAACCCTGTCATTTTTAACTATTGCAACTAGGAATTATGCAGGAATTGGTACCGAATAAAATACTGGAACCTATCAAGTCAGCGGGAGAGCGCAAGCTGGGGTGACAGGTGGGAGACGACACCCACATCCCAGCTCAGTTTATAAATACATGAACTTGGTCTCAAAGCGTGTGTGTCCCTTCAAAAGCACCCTCTTGAGTTTCAAGTTGTCATAATTGTTTTCTTTGCTCTCTTTTCTCCTTTTCTCTCTCTCTCTCTCTCTTTTTTTTTTTTTGGGTGTGTGTGTGCGTGTTTTATGAATTCTGTGTTAAAAGCCAAGGTGTTAATTTGTAATAGGGCTTCCCAGCCCGCGAAAACCTAGGGCAGGAAATTTTACTTAGGTCAGTGATCATAAAATTTGGGGTTTAATTAAAATTAAAAAAAAATAAATAAAGAATAATGTGAAATTGAAAAAAAAAAAAAGGATGCCTGTATATCAAACCATCACATGTTAAAACACGTAAGCTTTTTTATAGAGCCTCAGTCTCGCTGATTTCAGAACCAAGAACTTTTGTTCTATGTATCGCTTTTAAGAGAGCTATCAGGTTAGCTATCCAATTCTAGGTTGATGCATTTTTGTACTTAGCTGTACTGTGTGATATTTTTCATTATTTTAGGAAACCAACATGAAATAAAACATCATAAAACGTATAATGGGGTTTGGACTATGGGAAGGAGAATATACTGCTGTACAGCTAATAAATAATAATGATTATCCACCGCTGGCGTGAGTTTGTATGTGCTTTCTAGTTTTGGGGGCACTCCTCACCGGGGGGTGTGTGTCAATTATAGCAAATAAATCTAGACAGCATACTAAAAAGCAGAGACATCACCCTGCCAACAAAAGTGCGTATAGTCAAGGCCATGGTTTTCCCAGTTGCATTGTATGGCTGTGAAAGTTGGATCATAAGAAAGGCTGAGCGCCAAAGAATTGAGGCCTTTCAACTATGGTGCTGGAGAAGACTCCTGCGAGTCCCCTGGACTGCAAGGCGATCAAACCGGTCAGTCCTAGAGGAGATCAACCCCGACTGCTCTTTAGAAGGCCAGATCCTGAAGTTGAAACTCAAGTACTTTGGCCACCTAATGAGAAGGAAGGACTCACTGGAGAAGAGCCTAATGATGGGAAAGATGGAGGGCAAGAGAAGAAAGGGACGACAGAGAAGGAGGTGGCTGGATGGAGTCACTGAAGCAGGAGGCGTGAGCTTAAATGGACTCCAGAAGATGGTAGAGGACAGGAAGGCCTGGAGGAACATTATCCATGGGGTCGCGATGGGTTGGACACGACTTCGCAACTAACAACAGAATGGGGCACATCTTGTTTTTTGGGGGTAGGGAGGAGAAAGTTTTTCTTATTAAAGACACACATTTTTTATATATCTCAATTTGTTGTCTGTTGCTTGTCCCATTGGGGTACCTTTGTATATACGGTAATATGAATAAGAACTGCGCATAGTTATGGAGATGTGCAATGTTCCATGATGCATGATATTCATGCCAAAATGCAATTAAGGATTATCGTTTTTGTAAGAAAAGAAAGAATATCTTGGTAGAGATTGGGCATAAAATATCTGAGAGTGCCATTGAACCTGCAAACACCCTTGGATAGTACATGCCAATCCGCATTTAAAACAAATGGTTCAAAAATGGACAAAACATTGAGAGACTCTTCCATTTCTACCTAAAGCTTGCTTGAGAGTGCCAAAACCTTACAAGATAATAAAAGTATAGTAGGTTTCTAGAAATCTCACAAGGTTTTGTGTGCATTTTTTGGCACGTCTACAAACATGCAGACTCTGCTTTGGGGCCATTTGTACTTCCTCAGAACCTGGCCGTCCTTCACAAAAATCCAGTTGGACTTTTTATGCAAATCAAACTAGTCTGAACCTATAGCTTCTTCGCTTAAAACTGCTTTCAGGTTTTCCTTACCTGAGTTACCTTGGACATGTGTTAATACAGAGGTCTCCAACCTTGGCAACTTTTAAGACTTGTGGACTTCAACTTCCAGAATTCCTCAGCCAGCCATCCTGGGAGCTGAAGTCCCCAAGTTTGGAGAGTGCCTATTTTAAGAAAACGTCATCTCCCAGGAGTGCTGCAGTTTCCACTTTTGCTGTCTGGAAGATTGAGCTTTTTATTCTTTCAAAGTGGGGAGTGGGGTGGGATGGGGGGGTCAAGAAATACACAAGATCTGCCATGAACATTGCAAAACCTAATCCATGTTTGGACTTTTCTGAATTGCTCCAGTGTTTTGCTTTGATCATTTTATTTAGAAGAACTTGGTGATGGAGAGTAGGATTAAAGCTGAGATGTCATCGTTCTAGCCGTTGTCTATCCACTGCAGGACGAAGGCTTCTTCCGCATGTTTCCAGCCAATGCAGCCCTGAGTTTTCCTTTGCCAACTGGGCCCGCAATACTTGCTGACGTCATCGATCCATCTTGTTTTAGGTCTCTTTTCATGGACGCTTTTGATCAAGTGGGATCCATTCTATGACCTCCTGGGTCCACCTGCCCTCAATCCTTCTTGCTATGTGACCAGCCTGTTTCCATTTGAATTCTTTTACTCTCTTGATGATACTATATACTTTCGTTTGTTCTCTAATCCATGTGCAGGTCTTCCTGTCTTGTCTTGTAATGCTGAGTGTGTATCTTTCCATGGCTCTTTGCGCTAAGATATTATTACTAGAATATTCTGGATGATTGACAGTTAATTAACACTGTTTTCTAAGGAGATTGAAACCTAAGCCTGAGCCTTGCAAAACTAGAATAAAGAATGTACGTTCCACAGATTTTATTCCCTGCGTGCTTTTTGCTATCGTTCCTAATTCAAAAAGGGTTGCATTTTTATGCTTCTGTATTAAAAATCAAACAGAATTCTAAGCCTAGAAAGTAGTGCAAATTTAAGATAGTGTTTGTTAATTTGTTAGTAACAGAAAATAAATATGCTCTTCAGAACAGCTTGAGATTTGTTTCTATGAGTCATGTTGTTGCAGAGCTTTGCAATAATTCAGTAACGGAAGATGACGCTCGACAATAATCTTAATCCGCTGCTTCGTATTAGTTTATCATGTGAACTCCAGCCATTATACTGTGGTTAATTCAATAAGAGTGGTTAAACTTTTCAGAGATTAATGTGATCTTTGAGCCTAGCCTGTTCTGAGATTATGAGAAAACTCTTCGGAGATTTCTTTGACTCCCATGTAGTCAAGATACTAAATGTTAACAGTCTTGGGTGATGGATTAAAATTCCGTGTTCACTGACTGTGCTGTTTGCAACTGAGCAAATTAAATACTCCATGTATCATCCATATATTGAGGCTCAGCAAATTTTTCATTAAATCTGTTGTGATTTCCTGTTTTGAACTTCAAAAGCAAGGTTTTGGTTTCTAAGCATGTATTACTAAGCATGAAAAATAATCTTACTAGGCCAGACCAAAAGGCCCTATTTTTCTACATTCTATCCTATTTGGTGGTTCTTGTATAACTAAGGCAAGGTAAAAATTAATTAAATTCATAGAATGTATAAGCTGAAAGGTCTCTTCTAAGATCTAAGCCAAGGATGTCCAAACATGGCTTTTAGATTTGTAGACTTCAACTCTCAGAATTCCCCAGCCAATGATGCTGGTTAAGGAATTCTGGTAATTGAAGTCCACAAATCTTAAAATAATTGCCAAGGCTGGACATCCCTTGAGAGCTTCTGGCTCCTGCTTCAAAATCTCTAGCAAAAGGGAGTTCACCTCTGTCTTAACAGACTTCCACTGCTTTAAAGAAAATTTACCATCAGCAAATTATTTGGTTTTCAGTCTGAATATGATTTCTTTTAAATTTATCCTGCCTTTAGTTTCAATAGAGTGGGGACTGGACCACTTGCATGCAACCACCTTTTAGAAAATTACTATAGATTTGTACAATACCTTTTCTCCTCTTCCAACTTAAAGGGGTCATTTCTTCAACCATTACTCATACGGCCTGATTACTAGAACCCCTTCACCTTAGTAAGTTTCCTCTGAACTTACTCTGATTTCTCCATCCTTTAAAAGGTGGGGCCATGAAGACTGCAGAGTTGAATGAAATTAAAACAAATTATGTATTTGTAGGAAGTCCATAAAACAGGAATTAATTGCCCTCCTGAATTGTTCCCAGAGCTTTTCTAGAACTTTCTACCTAATTGTAGAAGCAGGTAGCCGGTGTTAACAGATCAACTTCCAAAATGTTCTCCAGAAATG